ATAAATTATCCAATTTAAACAAAATCAGCTGTTTCAATCAGACCAGAGGTGATTCTGGTCTGAGGTATAAATGGCAATAGGAATTTTGAAAACGGAAAACCAAATAAAAAGGAAACAATCCAGTTTTGAAAAGCTCTTTGGGACATGAGAAAAAAAAAGAAAATTCTGGATGAGTAGAAAGAATCTGGAGATGAATTTAATAAAAATCAAATGGAAAAACTTTACTAATGACAACAGAAATGGTTAAAAATTGAGCTAAAAAAGGGTTAAAAACAGGACATCTCCTGGAAGTGATCAACCACATGGCTTTTGGCTCAAATATCTGACTTACTTACATCCAATTATAGCTAAACATCTTAATGAAATATTGCATAAAGGACACATCACCTAATAACTGTATCTGATTCAAAAAGACCCAGCAAAACTGATAACACCAAGAAATGCAGGCCCTATAATATACTTGCTTGTATGTTTAAATACTTGCTTGTTTAAATTATTCACAGGCATAATAGCAGACAACATACAAAATTAGTTAGAAGAAAATAGCATCCTCCCTGTTGAACAGAAAGAGAGAGAAAAAAAGGAAAAACACAGGTACCAAAGATCAACTTTTGAGTGATAAAATGGTTCTGGAGAATTGCTGAAAAACCAATTTGAATATGGTCTGGATTGTTATAAAAAGGTGTTTGATTCATCACCATATAGTTGGATCATCAAATGTTTGGAAACACTGGTATCAGTAAAAATATTAGAAAAACTATACTGAGTGGTAGAAGACAGAATTGGTGGTTGAAAATTAAAAATATGGGTTTATCAACCTTCGGAGAGACATCTTCTAGGATGATTTATTATCTCTCTTATTATTTGTCATTGTCATGATCCTACGTTCAGTGATTTGAAAGTAACAAATACAAACCTTGGCTGTCAAACAGCAAAGCATGTTAATAAAATCTCACATTTACTTTCTATGGAAGATCTGAAGCTTTATGGAAAATCAAAAATCAAAATCCAGTCATTGCCAAACACATTGACAGAATTTTTAGCACAGCTATAGCAATGGAATTCAACTGAGGGAAATGTTCTAGAGTAACAAGGAAGAAGTATAAAATCCCGAATAGAAACGAAATTAAAATGCCAAAAGACCAACTATCCAGAGCAGGGGTGAAATGCTCCCTGTTTGGACCGGATTGGGCTATCCGGTAGCGATCATGGTGGGTGGTTCGGCGATCCGGTAGCGATGGCGGAGCAAAGCTCTTCCCACCCGCCCCAGTGTCATTACTTCCGGGTTTTAACCACGAAGTAATGTGTTTTTTACCTTCTGTGCATGCACTTCTGAAATGGTAAGGAAGGTAAGTAGATTTCACCCCAATCCAGAGCTATCATGATGAGGCTTGCAAGCATCTGGCCATTTTATAGTTAGATAACATTAAGTATAGACAACTTAAAAATGTGATTATTAAAGAGAACATCCAAAATAAGAAAATTGCTAAAGACAAAATTGACTGGTGTAACACCATCCAAGACATCAATTCCTAGACTATACCTGTGATATAATACATTGCTGGAATTATTAACTGGACCCAAGCTGAACTGGACAGTTAGGAATGAAAAACAAGAAAACTGATAACTATTCACTATGTATTACAGCCTCGTAGTGATTTTGATAAATTATATATGGTCCACAGAAATGGAAGCAGAGGTTTACTTCTGTTGAACAAACTGTCAAAGTAAAAAAGCATGGATTGGCTGATTATCTTTTTAAAAAAACCAGCCAAGAACTGATGAAAAGTTAAAAATTGGAACTTACTAAATGTACAGGAAACAAAAAGTAAATATCAAAATAATGTAATAAAAAATACAAACAGAATGCTGGCAAGCAAAAGAATCACATGGTCCATGTCTACAAAACATTGAGGGGAAAGTGGATAAAGATAAAATCTGGCAATGGCATAAAACAGGAACATTTAAAAAAGAAACTAAACCCTTGATTTTGTCTGTGCAAGAGCAAACTATTTGAACTAATGCAATCAAGGCCAATGTTGAAAAATTATCAAATGATTCAAAGGGCGGATTGTGTAAAGAAGCAAAAGAAACAATAGATCCTATTCTCAGCTCATGTCAGAGGATTCCACAAATTGATTATAAACAATAGCATAGCACAGTAACATAATAATTCACTGGAACATCAGGAAAAATTATCATGAAACAGTCATGAAAAATTGGTAGGAACATATAGTTGAAAAAGAAGCCAAACATGAGCAGGTTAAAATATTTTGGGATTTCTGAATACAGATTGATAAAGTCATAGCTAACAACACATATAACAGATATAACTGTGATTGAAAGCAAGACTGTGTGGATAATTGATGTGACAATACCAAGTAATAGTAGAATAGAAGACAAAAAATTGGAGAAGATCACAAAGTATCAATACCTGAAAATCAAAACTCAAAGATCATGGCATAAACTGGCCTTGGTTATCCACAACAGGGGTGAAATACCGGTTCGGACCAGTTCAACCGAACCAGTAGCGATGACAGCAGATAGTTCCGAGAACCGGTAGCAATGTCAGCACGAGGCTCCGCCCACCCGCCCGGTCATCATTATTTCCTGGTTTTAACCAGGAAGGGTTTGCGCATGCGCAGTGTGTCCATGACACACATGTGATGCACGAGCTGAGTGAGCGTGTGCGCAGGGCGCATGTACTTCCAAAACGGTAGGGAAGGTAAGTAGATTTCATCCCTGACTCACATATATACTATGTCAATATATTACAACATCCTAAGTTCTTGGGAAGGTACCGTAGATGTGTATGAAGGCCATCACTAGCTAAAGAACTGGCAACTGTGACTTCACAATATTTTGAAAATATAATTTTTATTATAAATATGTATGTTTATCAAATTGAACTCTGAAGAATATGGATAAACAAACAATACAATAACTAGAAAAATGTACAATAATCCATAAACTAACTGGTTGGAGTTATAGAAGCCTAAGATTTAATGCCAGTTCACCCACTGGATTACCGTATTCGCTCTATAAGACGCACAGACATTTCCACCCACTTTTTTTGGGGGGGGGGGAAGTGCGTCATAGTCCAAAAAGTACAGTACTTTGTGAAACCAATTATCTTAGTTTTTTACATCTCCTGAATAAAATCTATCTTGTTCAAAATGCATTTATTAGTAATATATAGTGATAAATAAATATCTGAACATGGCTTATTGAAGATCCCAAAATCATCTGCTGATGAGGTCAAAGAACCACCAAGAGGTTGTGTCCTCTATGCCCCAGAAAGACCATTATAACAAGATGGAGAGCAACCTGGCCCCTCATGTAAGCATGAGAAGGTCAGCTACAGAGAATTTCGACTCCTGAATTAAAGACAGAATACAAAACTAACAATAGATAAATTTGCTTTGTAATAGAGCATTTGATATCTTCTGCTTCATTTTCAGGAGGTTTCCAGTGGGGAAATCATTTAGTAATTCATTTTGAAGAATAAATTTTTAAAAAGCAAAACAAAAGGGATAATTCAACCACAAGCAGTTAGATCCAGTCTACCTATCGTGCATGATGTGTGTTCACTGAACTCAGCATTAGTCATTTTTAGTTTAGTCCTTGTTTTAAGCATATTTGGATGAGCAGATGCAGAGCTGACTCACCAAAATACACTGGATGTTTTGAATTGTTTCAGAAAGACTTAATGCTGGGAAATACAGTATATTCTACAGTTGGATGAATGCCAAAAGGCAGAATGCTCTTGGCTAATGAGCAATTATGAGCAATGGGCAATAACTCTTTCTGAAATTTGCAGGAGATGGTCTGCAGTGGGGAAACAATTCAAGGGGCTGAGGACGGATTACTTATTTCACCTGAACTTTCACTTTATTATTTTAAAATTCCAAAGATGTATTGTTGTTAAGCAGAATTTTGGATTCATGAATTAGGTAGCCATTTCATCCAGTGAAATTTCATAAGCATTGGTTAAAACAGAAGAAAAATAAAATAAATGCCTGGAACTTTTGACATTGAAGTGTGACTATCCATGTTATCCCATACCTTCCCTTTTTCTTCCAATTTTTCTCTTTACCTTTGAACAATCAACTAATAACTCTTTCACTGAGCATTTTCAATTTCTTTATTAAGATTTTTTTTGGGGGTTGAGGGGGTCATTTTACATGCAGTGATGTCTTTGTTCATTTATTTAATAAAATGATATGCTGCCCATGTCACGTTTTGAGGGTTACAATCTTCTTACATGTTACATGTGTGAATGGCGCCATTTAGCCATCACCTCTGCACATCAGAAATAGAGATGCTGCCATTTATATCCTATTCAGCATCAAATTAGGTTTGTTGGATCAAATTAGGTTTTGTTGTGTCCTGTCGGCTGCCGGCCCCTCCAGCAGCCGAATCAGATGAGGAAGTAGCGTTGGAGTCCGGGCCAGCATCAAGGCAACCTGAGAGCTCCGAGGGGGAAGAGGGAATGGAGCTGTCAGAGATAGAGACAGAGGTGGAGCCTAGGCCATCCATCAGCCCTCAGATGGAGAGTCAACAGCCCCCAGGTCTGGAGGTGGCTGATGAGGAAGAGGAGGAACAGCTGGGTCCAGTATCTGACATGCGGATGCGCAGAAGGTAGGAGAGGAGAGCAGTGGAAATCTATGAGCTGATCCTTGGGACGGAAGAGCCATCCAAAGCCCCACCCTAGCTCTGGGGATAAAAGGCAGGTGGTGGAGATGAACAGGTGTGGCAGACAACTATTCATCTCCCTACTGGACAGACTTGTTAGCTTGTTTGTGTGAGAGAGACTTTTTGCCAGGCTGCTGGTGCTCCTAATAGAGGAATCATTGATTTAATACAGAGGGTTTGTCATGTTTGGGAGCCGTGTCTTTCTATAGAATAAGGATTTCCGTATGCTAACGTAATCAATTGCTGTGCAATCGATTCTTCCACACAGACATCTTTCTCATCAACAGCTGCATCACCCAGGAAAACCTACATGAAAATTTACGTCAGGATACCACAATAAACATGATGACTATTTTAGGTAATAACTTGATTGTTAGCCTAGAAATAATACTGTTAAATACTTTTAAAATGGTTAATTTGAATTCTGGAAGCATAAGATTCCCTGAGAATGAACACAGGAAGAGTAATTTATAGACTTGCTGACTATGAGAGGACATGTAAAAAAAATGACATGAAGGAACAGTCAATCTTTCCCAGTTGAAGGGAATCAGGTCTAAGGATAGTCACACCTAACTATTCTCTCGGACAGTGGCTAATTTGAACAGCCTCCTTCACAATGGGATTACAACTGATCTGATCAATACAGACACATGGTGACTGTGGCATTCAGAGAGTCAAGAGCCAACCCATTTAGAGGACATCTGGTTCTGAAACAGGGCTTTAAAGAAATAACCGTTCCTAACTCCATAATAATTTTGCTGGGGGGGGGAAGTTATTTGGGGCAAAAAACTTCCTTCTTTTTGACTTGAAACTATCCTAGTAGTTTTGTCTTTCAGTCTTTGTTTGTTCCTCTGCCTCTATCTACAGCCCAAGCATATCACAGCAATCTTTCAGAACAATGTTTTTGTCTGATCTCAAGCCCATAAGTCAGCATGAAGCCATCCTTATCTATGTCAGTGTTAAAGTCATGTTTCACCTTAATGCAACATACAGTCGTTTTGCTGTAGATATTGTCTAAGGCATTTTATTGATCATTTTGTTAGCAGTGCAGCCAGCTTAACATCACGTGCTCACTTTAGCTGGTGCAGGCCTGTCCCTTCTCTTCAGTCTCTAGCCAACATCTTTTGCTTTGGACAAAGAGGACAGTATCTTTCAAACCAAGTTCTCATCTTTACTTGGATCAGCCTCAATAGTAGCTGTCCAGGGGTGGCAGAAGTAAGGAGAAAGTTTACGTGGTGAAGAAGTGGGAAAGAATTATTTCTGTCTCTGCCACTGATACCATGAAAGAACTTTCCCTACTTCGATCAGCTACGATTTAGGCTGATTTTGAAGACAACTTTAATGTTATTTTGGAATAGCATTCTTTTGGTGAAAGCTGCTGAGTGTCAACTGGATTACAGCAGCATACAAAAGTGATAAATAAATAAATAAATAAATAAATAAATAAATAAATAAATAAATAAATAAATAGCTGATATAAGCTGCTCTTCAATCTCCTTCTTTTAAAGTTAATAGTGCCAGATAATTGCACTCTAAGCAATTTACTTTATGCCCTAGCTACATTAATGAATATATGTTCAGGGCATGTTACTAGTAATGTTTTATGAGAAGGCAGAGAAACAAAATCAGGGGATTCTGCCAATCCCTGTTCTTAATGCCTTGTTTGTGGTAAGACATAAGGACAGCAGCATTTGCCACCATGGTGCCCATGCAGGATAGGGTTTGCCAGAGAGGATGGCAAGGTTTATACCAGTATACAGGGATGCAATGTTCCCGGTTTGGACCGGATTGCCTGAACCGGTAACGATGGCGGCGGGTGGTTCAGAGAACTGGTAACAAAAATCCCTGGGCCCCCCCACGCCCAGCTGAGGCGCGCGATCATCAGAGGTTTTTTTTTTTACTTTTAAAAGCATTTTTTCTTCGGCTGAAAAAATGCTTTTAAAAGTTTTTTTAAAAAGCCTCTGATGATCGCATGGCTTAGCTGGGATCGTCAGAGCCTTTTAAAAGCATTTTTTTTTACAACCTCTTCGGCCGAAGACACTGTAGAAAAAATGCTTTTAAAAGTTAAAAAAAAGAGTTTGCCACGCCCACCCAGTCACATTACCCCCCACCAAGCCACACCCACAGAACCGGTAGTAACAAATTTTACATTTCACCACTGCCAGTGTATTTACTTGGATGGCACTTCTACTCAGCTGTCAGAAAGAATTTTTTGAGTTCTTATTCAAGAGTGAAAGGAATGTGAGTCCATATATTAAATGAATGTCAGTGAGTTCATGTATTAAATGAAACCATTTAAAGCATTGTTTGTTGAGCTACCTTAAAATAAAACCCAAAGAATGTCTTCTCCCACTCAGAAGAGTACAAGTGTGTGAATATAGAGATCTTATTGTCTCAGAGACTGCACATTGTCTTATAAACTCTTCAACTGTAGAGCAAATTTCAAAGGATTAGTTGGGTTGGACTTTTTTCAGTCTCTTGCATAACTAACTTTCTTTACTTCCACAATGCAACCACGTTTCCACACATATGTCTGTCATTGCTCAATTCTCCTTCATTAATGTTTTTCTGCTGAAATCTGGCCATTTCCGTGGAACTCATTACTTCTACCTCTCGCCTGGCCCTTCCTTTTTTTTATTTCTGTTGTTCGTAGAAATTAATGGCCCCACACTTTTCTTAGTAGGAGATATAGTGGTATATTTTAATCCCAGGGGTGCATTTTCAAGCTAATTCTTTTTCCTCTGTAAACTTATCAATAGAAAGGAAGAGGAGAATAACTGTAGCTCTGGAGTACACTCTTTTCATGAAAAGATCATGGGTTCAATCCAGTGGTGAAATGTAAAATTTGTTACTACCAGTTCTGTGGGCGTGACTTGGTGGGGGGATAATGTGACTGGGTGGCCTTGGCCAACTTTTTTTTTTTTACTTTTAAAAGCATTTTTTTTCTACAACCTCTTCGGCCGAAGAGATTGTAAAAAAATGCTTTTAAAAGCCTCTAATGATCAGGCAACTCAGCTGGGATCGTTAGAGGCTTTTAAAAGCATTTTTTTCTACAACCTCTTCAGCCAAAGAGGTTGCAGAAAAAAATGTTTTTAAAAGCCTCTAGTGATCAGGCAACTCAGCTGGGATTGTCAGAGGCTTTTAAAAGCATTTTTTCTACAACCTCTTTGGGTGAAAGAGGATCTGACGATCCCAGTTGAGCCGCGTGATTATCAGAGGCTTTTTTTTTCACTTTTAAAAGCATTTAAAAAGCTTTTTCGGGCGAGGAGGTTGTAAAAAAATGCTTTTAAAAATAGGAAAAAAGCCTCTGATGATCGCGCAACTCAACTGGGTATGGCGGGGGGGCACAGGGATTTTTGCCACCAGTTCTCTGAACCACCCGCCGCCATTGCTACCGGATCGAGCAATCCGGTCCGAACCGGGAGCATTTCACCCCGGTTCAATCTTTGAGTACGGTTAGGAACACTGCTTTTAACTTCTTCTTTGTCTTGTGCCATATCCGTCATCGGATGTTGGCAATCATGTTGGCGATCCTATTTTTATCAACAACTGATCAATATTGTGTTTAAGGGAGAATGGTCTGATTCACAATGATACTCATGGCTGGTCCATAACGCTAAAAAGCTATAATTTATTTGTGAGTAACAAATCCAAAAGAAAAGATAGATAGGTCGATAACAGAAAGAAAAAATGAATAGTCCAATCTTTTGAAAAAGCATGCAACAGAGGATTTAAATTATCCCGACGTCTTCTGGGAATCTAACTCTGCCAAGACTCAGAAATCCAAAACATTCTTGTCTCCTCTTCCTGACAACTCCATTTGTCAAAAGGTGAAAGAAATTATAGTGGGGTCTCCTATCCTCTACTTAATCCCTACCAACAGGCAAGAATCAGATGAAGAATTAAAGATGGCATCTTGAGGGAAAGTGATCAGGTAATACTTGAATATAAGCTATCCTAAAGAAGAGGAACTAAAGCTTGCATACTGAACTTCAAATAGTAATCAACTTCAAAAGTTTTTCAGATTACAGATCTCTCAGTCTGACATGTATGTAAGGCAAGATATTCAAACTGATCATTAAGCAACATATTTATAAGCATTGTATAGGCATCAGTGGTGGGTTGTTACCGGTTCGCCCCAGATCAGGCAAACCAGTAGCGGTGCCGGTGGGAGGCTCCGCCCACCCACCCGGATGGTTCTCTGCACGCGCAGACGTGTCACATGCGCACGCACGCACACACGAACTGGTAGCAAACTAAATTGAAACCCACTACTGATAGGCATGCTGCAATTTCAGGGTAAAAAGCAGACCTTGTTTAATTTCTTTTCATCCCAACAATGTCTTTAGATAACCTGCATGAGGAACAAAACCAGTGATGCTGATGAAGTTATCTAATGGGTAACGAAGCATCAGCAAGCAAAACACCAGGCTCAGAGAGCACCATGTTTTGGTCCGCTGGTGGCCTGAGGAGCTGGCAGCAGAGTCGGACAGTGAGTAGGCTGGGGAGGACCATAGGCCAGTCTGGAGTCTGGGGAAGGCTCGGACGAGAGCTCTGCATCAAAGGCAGAAAAAGGGCCATCTGGGAGGTATGTGCTGCTTCCAGAGCCTCCAGAGTCAGACTTCAGTGAGGGGAAACCTGTTCCCAGTGCGCGCATGCGCAGAGCTGCCAGAAAGCAAGAACAGTTAAAACAAAAGGGACGACTTGGGAGTAAGGCTTGGAGATGATTGGCCCCTCCCATAAGACTTAAAAGAGGAGCAAAGGCACGTGGGCCTTTGCAGGAAGCAATATTGTTAATTCTGTTCAGTTTAAAGTCTGAAGCTCTGTTTGATTCTGGGCTCTGTGTGGCTTTGCCAATTAGGTCTTTAGCAGCGTGTCAAGGGAGATAAAGGTGGGTGATTATCAACCTTATCCCAAAGGACTCTTTACAACTATTTGGGACTCATCTGTGAATGAACAGAATTCACAGCTGTTGCAATAAAAGAGGCTTTTGGGACTACTCGTGTGTTTTACTGACTTAGGAAGCCTAGGTCAGAACACTCCACGGTAAAACCAGCTTTTGCATCATGCATCCTCCTCTATGACTCATGCTACCAACATAATTAATTTAAAACATTTTTAATATTAAGACATCATAAATACCTGAGTTGCCAATTGCATGGAGAAGACTTTTTATGAAAACATAGAAGGGCAATGATAGAGTATTGGAAACGAGGATCAAAAATGATCTACCTTGTTCTGGAATGGTTCTGTTGACATGGTTGCCAGGTCCATTTTATCACAGGTTGAGGAATTCCATAAACAATGCATGTTAAAATTTGCTTAGTTCCTAGTTGATAGAGAGTAGGACCAGGAATTGATGACACTTTTTCATAAATCTGAGGTTTCACTGTTAACAAACAAGAACAGGAGTAAACTGAAATGTTATTCTAAAATAAAATGGAAAGAATTACTGTTTCAAAAGAAAAACCAAGATTTTGGCCTCTTCCACAAATAGTCTGTGTTTTGATCTGACATCATTGCTGCCTATATATGTCCCAACAATGCAGCTTCCAATAGCCTTGGAAAATCAGAATCAGTTTGTTCTCTGCTTCAGAAGTGCTGCAACAGCAGTTTTGCAATGCTTGTTCTGGAGCTACAGTTGTAGGGACTTCCAACCTGTCTTAACTACTTCCTCTAGAATTTCCTCCTTCTCTCCAGAATCCAAGTGATAGGCTCCTTCTCCCCTATCTTTCTCCAGTAGATAAACAATTGCACTCCGCATCTGACAGTGACTAGCTTATTCTTTCCCCTTTTCTTTTTGTAAGAAGCCAATGAAATAAGGTGAAGACAAAATATGAAAAGAGGGCATTGGCTGCAGGCAGAGCTGCCTGGCTCAAACAACCCATTTGCATGGATGCATAGGACAGGGGTCTACAACCTTAAACCCTTAAAGAGCCATTTGGACCCATTTCCCACAGAAAAGAAAACACTGGGAGCCACAAAACCCTTCCCGTGCCTGAATATTTCTTGAGCGGCCACAAAACTAGCATATGTAATTGAATTAAACGTTCTGTTTTCTTCTGAAACTTTTCTTTTCTTGGATTTATCCACGGTTGGCCTACCAGGGGTTGAAAAGCTCAATAAAGCGTGTGTTGCACATTGGCGGTTGTGACGCATATTTTGAGCGACAGGGAGCCTCAGCAGAGGGGGGAAAGAGCCACATGCGGCTCCAGAGCTGAAGGTGGCTCACCCCTGGCATAGGACATAAGCTAAGTAGCTGGTGACACAAAAGTTGAGCATGGAAATGCCATTTTTTAAAGACACAAATGCCTTTGTCAGAATGCTTTTAGCATAACAACGTGATCTCTGATAATGAAAACTTTTTAAAGAATATTTATGTTTAGTCAGAATTCAAGATAACTTAATTTTCAAATAAGTGTCTACAGGATTGCATCTTACTGTCATTGATAGTAATGTGGACTCACCATTTATTCTGAGCGTTATTGTTAAATTTTTTTGTAGGTTCCACTGCCGGGTGCTCAACATTATAGTGTAGTTTCCTGCATCTTCTTCCGCAACATGTTTTATAATGAGTGAGAAACCTTTAATTTTATATCTGGCACACATTTCAGCAGCAGGCAGCCCATCCTTCAACCTGTGGAAGAACAGTCAAATCCATAATTGCTTATGATGTCACTACATACGTTACCTATGTAATATATAAACATTTCACAGGAAGCAAGCAGAGCACATTTTTATGGATCAAGGACCACACTTACTCTTTTAGTAGCATGCTAGAGGCACACATCGTAGTTAGGGCCAATATGAAGAAATAGGAACAGCAGGTATAAAGACGGAAATTGATATCATTTAAATTACATTAATGTGGTTAATATGATTACTCTTCAATTGTGTCTTTACTAATTTCCCACTTACATCCATGAAAAAATGATAACCTTTAATGACAAGCTTTGAATAATGTCTAGGGGACCCATATCCAAGTCCTCTGAGGACCAGACTCAGGCCTGCTGTGTAACTCTGATGTGAGACATTTAGGGTTGGAGGAACAAATTATATTACAAGTCTTTATAAATGTTTAAAAAGCTAATTAATAGTCAATTTAGTGGATTTATTCAAAATCCATGTGGATTGAACTACATATTATATGAAGAATGTGTAGCTGATAATGAACTTCATTTTACTCATTTCATTCCTGCTCAAATACTAATTGTTAAAAGAAATGTGAAGTGTTTGAAGTGTTCATGAAATGAAATGTCAGGCATTCCTTTTATTAAATATTATTAGGGAATACATGGATACAGAAAAGTGACAGGAGTTCACTGCAACCCCAAATCTCCTGGAGTGTGCGGAATTCCTCCTGTTTTAGTTCTTTATTAAAAGACATTCCAAACTTAAAAATTTCTAGGGAACATCAGGATATTTGAACATACAACCCAGGGGGGAAAAAAAATCTACTGTTTTAATGCTATCTTAAATCTACAAATAATTGTACTGGCAATAATTTGAAACTGGAAAAAAAAAAACCAAGTATTTGAAATGTCATTTTTAAAATCAGCATGACATTTAAATGATTCTGTGTTACATCTCTACACTTCTCAATGATCATGAAGCTTTATTATATTGGATGTAGTTGTTTGGACTAAAATGATCATCCAGAATCAATAATTGGTTCTTTTGAAAGTCAGTCTAAATGGTTAAACCCAGGGGTGGGCTGCTGGGGGTTCGCAGGGGTTCGGGAGAACCTCTAGCTAAGATTCTGTGCAGTTCAGAGAACCCCCAAATCCCATTCCTGGCTGGCCCCACCTGCCCCTCCCCTCCTAGGAGTCCCCATGCAACCCATTTTGGATGCAAGTAAGTTCAGGGCACGTGCAGAGGCTCAGGGAGGGCAAAAAACAGGCCTACTGGAAGTTCGGGAAGACCAGAAATGTGCCCATTTCTGGCCTCCAGAGGGCCTCTGGAGCCTGGGGAGGCCGTTTTCACCCTCCCAGAGGCTCGAGGAAAGCCTCCGGAGGTCAGGGAGGGCAAAAATGCCCCCCCTCCGCTGTGGTGTAGGAGGCCAACTAGGGCGTGCCCACCATGGCCATGCCCATTCAGCAACTGGGCTTGCTAAAATTAACCTGGTTAAATCCCATAACAGATCACTCTGAAAAAGAGAGTTTCCTTCTCCTCTGATATGGTTCAATTACTATTACTACTGCTTTGGCTGAATTAAAGAAAGAAGTGGTACCCTTTAGTTAAAAAAACAAAAAAGGTTATAGCTGAGTCTCCATGCAGACCAGTCATAGAGGATGAGGAGGATATAGCCAGGTGTGATATTTGGGGATCTGATATCACATTTCAAATGTATGCACAAGGAAGCACAAGATCTAAAATGCTAATAATTGCTGATTTGCTAAAATTTCCAACAATATCTTTTTTTAAATATATGATTTTATTTTAGATCTTATAAAAGACTAATTAAAAATAATGTTTACTATAGCAATGCTAATGTCTGCTCATTAGTTTACTTTAATAAAGTAAAATAATCAAATGCATTGATTATTTATTTTGTGGTATTTCCAATCAATCTATTTGATTAGCTAATAAAACTGACATAAAAAGACAGGAGACAAAACTAAAAAATAATAGTATACAAAAAAATTGAGAATTGACCATTTCAAGTGACCATGTCAGTTGACATTTGACCAGGAAATTATGGTCAAAGACTTGAAGCTTGGTTGCTCTCAGAGGGACAACAGGTGAAATGTGTCCTCTAAAAGCAGAGATTCCATAGGGGGTAGGTCTTTTCCAAGTGCTAGGAAACAGAACCTTTCCTGGCCATTTTAAAAGGTGAGCAGGCTAGTAACAGTAAAATAGCCAAGCTTTAAGTCATTGTTAAATTGAATCTGATAAACAATTGGCAACTAATGCTGGTCCTTCAATAGAAGAATCATATGAGCATCTTCCAATACAACCAGTTATCAGCCTAGCATCTACATTTTTCCACCAAAAACAACTTGCGAGAATTTTTTTCAGACTGGTTCTTGGAAGAATAAATTGTGGTAGTCGAGAAGCTAAGAGGCAACTCCCAGATTGACTTAGGCCAGGAAAAGGCACAGCAAACCACTAGCCGTGATTGAGCAAATGCACTCCTCATAACAGCTACCTCCTTCAAATCCAATGACAAGTGAGGCCAAATAGCATTCCCAAGGAATGGGCCTGCATCCAACTCTTTTCCAGCTTCTATTTTTTTATTTAGAAATGCGATTGTTTCAAAGGTGGAAATCCAAGCTTTAGAGCACACATTAAATTTGGCTGCAACTATGGTGAACTAATGCCACACATGCATGTAGGGAACTGTTTTCCTAATCAGTCTTGTAGCAATGCTTTTGTGAAACACTAATGAATTCAGGAATAGCCCCTGCCATTTAGAACGATTTGAATGAAAACAAAAGCAAAATTGAGATCAAAATTGATACCATTGTTTCACAGGCAAGTGATACAAAAACACTCCTTAAATAATATGTTCATGACCCAAGAAAATCTCAGGTCAATTAGGAGTATAGAAGTTATATGAAAGGTATAGAAAAACAATGGGTTTGCTGAAAACGCGCATTTCCCTGTTTGGGCCAAATTATAAGACATCTTACTGTGATGGAGTAGGGGTGCGGGTGGAGGGGATTCTTCTTCTCTATGTCACCTTTTTAGCGTACATCTGTCCAAGATGTTAACCTCTAATAATACTTCAACAGTAAGGTCAACAACATGACTTAACTGCCTTGATACTCTAAGCAAACTAGATTCAGAGAAATATTGCCTTCACCTCGTGAATCTATCTATATGTGTACATATTTGTGTGTACTTCTAAGGTTTATGAAATGCACCTTCTATTAGATCATTAACTAGTAGACCACTAGTTTCTAAAATGTTTGAGACAAACTTAATTTCTGGTAACCTCATGGATGACAACATGCTGTTTGAATAGTAACAACATATTAATTATTGGCTTTTTTCTACTTCCAGGATGTTTTGCAACTTCTGAACCCCCTAAGCCTAGTATTTTCCTATTAAGTGCTAAGATGATGTCATAGCCCTAATAGAGAAAAAGATGCAAGTAAGTCTTTGTTGAAATAATATATAAATTAATAAATGGGGGAAATTCCCTTATATGCAAATACTATGTCTTTAAGGGATTGTCACATAATTTTAAAGTTGTCATTAACAAAAGAAGCCCTATATTGAGAGATTTCTAATACAAGATAGAAAAACAAAAATATGATTTTATTTTTTAAAAAAAATCTAATATAAGAACTTGATATTTTATAGGTGTGTGTGAGTGAGTCTGCAAATGTTTGATATGTTGACTTCAGGTAGTGTCATCAAAGCAATAAAGTTGAATTTGGGCAAACTCCAGGAGACAGTGGAGGACAGGAGGGACCAGCATTGGGGTCCATGGGGTCACGAAGAGTCAGACATGACTTAGAGACTAAAAAACAACATAGGCAAATTTGCCTTCCTGTTTCCTTCTGTGCACTGACATATTCATTCCTCACTGCCTTACGATTAAGGGCCCTTTAAGTACAGTAACTGATTATTTTAACACAATGATTCAGAGCAATTGCTGATCAACTGAGCAGGAAGCAAGTAAAAGCGTAGGCAGGTGGAGTCATACAGTGCAATAAAATCTGAAAGTTTGTGACCTCAACAAAAGACAAAGAAAGATAAAACATAGAAGCCTAATTCAGAAGCTTTTTAAGACTGTAAATGTCCATGGGCAGAATATTCATCTGATATTGCATTTATACTTTTTTCTCGAGCCAGCTATAGGTCAATGTAATTTTTTCTCTCCAGAAGTCAGACAAGAAACATTGTTATAACTGTTGCATTTTAATTGAATATTTTTATTGTTCTGAATGAATTATGGTTATGTTCAATGCTTTGTGCCTGCCTAGACAATTACCTTCATTGGCACACCCTTCCCAGGAAGACAAAAAAATCAACAAGCAGACATTAGAAGAGCTATTGCTGAAACTTTCCCAACTTGTTAATTTAGTGTGGCTACTGTTATCCTCTTATTGCTAGTCCAAAATTGCAGGTTAATAAAGGACTATATTAGACCCACCTGGAAAATGTGGGCGCTTCTAAACATGAACCTAAATATGTACTAATGGAATGAAGCTTAAAATAAGTATTACGGTGCATTCACTACACACTAAGAGACACATGGGCCAATTTTCTCACTGACAGGGGAAAGGGAGGAAGTTCCTGTTGTATCACAAGGGAGTAACACCCTTTTTATCTTGCTAATGAATGGATCTGAACCAAAGACCATAAGAATTTGTCATTTCAATTACTGCAAATATAATTTATATAACTTAATAGGCGTCTCAGAATTAAGCACCAGTTAAAAGAACTTCCTTTCTCAGGACAGCACATACCCTTTAAAATGTTCACACTTTATTATGAAGAAAGAGTCAAAATGAAACTGCCAGTGGCGAAACTTAGAGCTCAATTAGAGCCCTGGTGGCACAGCAGACTAAAGCACTGTTATTAACATCAGCTGCCTGCAATTACTGCAAGTTCAAATCTCACCAGGCTCAAGGTTGACTC